AATATATATTATATTACTGGATTATAATTAGTGATGCATTCATGTGTAAGCATCACTAATGTTGGAGATGCTAAAGGTGGAGCTAATACTTTAAGGTAGCTCAATCTATGTCAACATATAAGAATTTATTAGTTGATCATATTTTGTATGTTTGACAGTTTGAATCTGCAAAACTAACCAGTAACCAAAATTATCAAATACATACGGTGGAGTGAAAAGTATTTGCCTCCAGAATGTGGAGTATGAAGTAGCATAACATGAAAAAAAAAGTACAAATACCATAAAACTGTACCTAAGTACGGTACTTGAGTAAATGTAGTTAGTTACATTCCACCACTGGTGCACATTGTCTGTATCTCCCTCTGGTTGTCTCTTTGGTCCTGACAGTCCTTCTACCAGAGTTGAACCTTCATCAAAAGAGCTGAGAGGAATTTGTTCCCCCTCTCTCTCTCTCTCTCTCTCTTTCTCCATCTCTCTCTCTCTCTCACACACACACACACACACGCTTCCTTACTGTGTGATATCAGTGCACACATATGATTATGTATAAGTGTTTTTTTTACTCTCACAGGAAATGATTGCAGCAGGGTTGAAGGGTCTCCGAGTATCACAGTTTTCCTGCTGTGCTCCTGTTTAGAGGAGCAGCTTGTCTATGGAGCATCGGCCATTTTACTTAATAGTGATCCCTCACTGATTGTATCTTTCTCATCTTTAATGTTGATGTTGTCATCATCATGAAGCCTCCACTGATGTCAGGAAACAACCTGAACCTTGGCTTAAACTCATTGGATGGAAATAAGAATGAACACATTATATTAGCAGTAAGATCCAGAGCTGAATTTGACATGTATTTTGTTTGTTTGTTTTGTTTATTAAAATGGTTTAAACTCTACTCTGCCTTAAAAAGACAAAGCACTTTAGGTCCAAGAGTGTAGAACTGAGGAAAATGACTTTAAAGGGTTTTGTTGCTAAATTAGGTGTTTGCATAATATTGGAAATGTGGATATTATTTGTGCTTTTAATTAAGTTATTGATCTACAAAACAATCTTAAGGTCAAACTTGACCGTTAACCCTTTTTTTGAAGTTTAGGTAGTGTGCCTTTGCATTGTCTGCATGATAATACAGTCCTGCCGAGGCAAAAGGCATTAACTTCCATTTGATCACTCACTTGTTTAACCATCTCTACATAAAATGAGTATATGATAATAATGACAACATCTACATAAAATAGAGAAATCATAGCACAGTAAGGCTAACAGTTTGGTTTGGTTTGTAGCCAACAAGTAATTTTAGTTGATTTCCTATTAATCTATATATTTTCTTGTCGCCTAACGTAATCTTTCTTACTTTGATTTTAGTGTCTGAGTTGTGCTGTTTCAAAACATTTGACCTTGACAGCAATGGACCCCTAGTTCTTAAAAACTAGCTGCAACACTACTCGCTTTGAAACTTTATTCAAGCGACTTTGTGTGTGTGTCAGATATTAATGATTTCTGCAGTAAAGTGCTGTTATGCCTAAAGGCAGAGTACCTTAACTCAATTTGAGTGTTTGAGTGGAGTGAAACAAAGAAAAAGAATCTCAGCTGATGTTCGGTCATTCTGCTTTGGTTTATCTGTTTTTTTCTTTTGGAGGTTTAGGCAAACACATCACACTATTTTCTCCAAAAAACAACAAACTTGACTCAAAATATTTGTCCACATGAAAAAGCAGATCTTGAATGTTCCAAAAATGACAATAATAATAAATTAAGGGCTTTTGCCTTTGCACAGCAGTCCATACACCTGTATTAAAAAATAACTTTTCATGAATGAATTTGAATATTTGAAAATCTGTGTGTGAGAATCCTTATTATTTTCTTTCAGTGCAGGTATTTGGATTTCCAGACACCCGCTACGTGCTGCTGCATTGTTTTGGTCTTTCAAATTAAACTTTACAGGCAAATCCAAATTAGGATACAACCACTGCATTTACTGGGACCTCCCCCTTGCAAACACACACACACACACACACACAAACACACACATTTCCAAGATGATTTCATTTCCTGTATCAGGGCTATTTCAGTTTATTTGGATTTCCTTTGACATTGTCTGCTTGTCACCTAGATTTATTGTTGTTGTTTTCTTTCTTTTCATTTTTTTCTATTGGTCATGTGTGTTTTATTTTCTCACCTGCACAAATGCTCAGCTTTCATGTCTCCTAGCGACCGTCAGTAATCAGTTTTTATAATCATTTCTTGATTATGTTTTTGTCACTGCGCACATAAACTAATCTTAGAGCCCCCCAGCCTTAATTTCATGCAACGTTTTGTATTTAAACTTTCATTTAATCATTTGTCATACATTTTATTTGAGTATTAGTATAGTATAGTATTATTGAATGATGAACAGTGAGGGATTACAAAATGTAGCCAGATCTTTGATTCTACACACTTATGGGTGGCATGAAGCTGCCACTCTGCTACTTATCTGTGTGGATGTTGTTGTTGAAATTTGTACTGAAGCTTTGTGTCTTTATTTATATCTTAAGAAACTAAATTGTTGGAAGAAACTGAAGGAAATGACATAAGATAAATCACATCCCTGCTGGTAATATTTAGTCTGCATACAAGTCTTACTCCTGGTTCAGGGTGTAGGAAATTGCGCTTCAAAAATATTTAACCCTTACTGAAAAGAAGCTCCTCCAAAAACGGCAGCTAACAGACACAACTGTAAATTGACTTTTGGTATCACACACACACACACATACCTTTTCTTCCTCTCCTTGACACAATACACTGCACTGTGATATAAGATCTGTCTCTGCACACACAGCGTACCTGTACTGCAGAGGTTTCACCCACATGTCACTCTACATAAATGATCTGTTTACCTTAAAATGAACACTTGGTGTGAACCTTTTGTTATTGTATTAACACAGAGGAGGAAGAGGAGGCTATTTGCGCAGGATATATATATAAATATAACAACAATTAGCATTTTATGCTGTGGCTTTTTATTTACATCACAAAATATGTATCCTATCTTAATCTGAAAGCTGTTGATTTTCAAAGACAACACAAAACCAGTAACATTTTGAAATTGTAATTTTCCTCTTCAATTTAAGTCTTTTAATTTCAGAACAAATACTCTTTCAAACACTATATGACAGTACGTTCTATATCTGCTCTTTCCATTAACGTCACTATCTACACCTAAAAGTTCAAACTTAAGGCGTCGTGTTTTCTTAGCTGTGCCACTACATCTAACTGACATAATGTAGACATATGCAACAGAATTTTTTTTACACATTTACCAACATTTAATCTAAGTGAAACATTGTAATAATTTAATTTCCTCTAAAAAGGAAAATAAAGGGTTTGAACAAAGATTGGCGGCATTGAAGTTTCTTACTGAATTAAAGCTGATCTGTGAACATTCAAGAATCACTCCAACAAAACTTACTCACACTGTGATGATATATTTTCCCTTTCTGAACAACCGCAGAAGCAAGCAGGCCGTTATCAGGCCTGATATTTCAGTGCTTCAGTGTAATAATAATATTTACATTTTTACAGAGGAATAAGGTTCTTGTTTTTGTCTCTATTCTCTAGTTCTTTACCATCACACTCAGTCAGGCATAACGGTGTCAGATTGACTATTTCAAGCCTATATAGGATTTTTACAACTTATAACGAAAACTGATTTCTTTTAAACATCAAATTCTGCTTTTGTCTTTCCCAATACAATAATGATGAGCAACTGAAAAAATTATTTAATCATCTTTATTCAGAGAGAAGGTGAAAAAGAAAAACATTGGTTTCTTTTCATCAAAAATTGTTCAAAAAGCACAAAGAACGAATTATTTAAAACAATTTAATTCTGTTTATTCCATATTATTGTCACGTGTTTGAACAACAGTTTTCTTTACAACAACAGTGATTTCATTTATGTTTAAAATAAAAGCTTAATTAACTACAGTGTAATGAAAACTAACAGCAGGCCCACAGACACATTGCAAAAGGAAATAAAACAAAACAAACCCAAACATTAGTTTTATGCGTAGCACTTTGAATATGTTGTGTTTTATGTATTTAATGAAATGCAGATGTCATTATCGCATTAGCTTGTATTCTCTGTACTTTATTCTGCACATGAAAAGCTGCTTAAAAAAAAGCACCGCTGACATGTTTCATTGCTGCTCTATGCAGTCAGATAACTGCAGAAGCACCACCGTCCCCCATTCCACACATTCCAGGATTTCCCAGCAAGCATTGCAAGCAAGCCTAAACAAGTCACGTTCTTTACTCAGGGAGATTTTCACACAGTCGAGTGACTGAGGTCTCCTTTTGCCTTCCCTTTAGTGTGCAATCACATAAATGCACTTTTACAACTTTAACTTCTTAAATTCCAAAGTATTTTTCTGAAGCCACAAAGACTCAAACAAACCGGGCTTTAATACACACAATCACAATCATTCTTCCACCTGAAACGTTGCACTGCAGGGTAATCTGTGCCCAAAACTATGC